AGCCTTAGTATAGTATTAAAAAAAAGTATTCCTAACATCAAGAGCCCCATTAGAGCTATTGATTTAACAATACCTAAAACTGGGATCCCTAGTTCGATGACATTATATTATTATAAACTACATGTGATTTTATCATTTTCAAAAATTTTAACCACGAGGATCAGTTTCTAAACTTAAGTATCAGAAACTAATCTTAATTTAAATATTTTCCCTTTTCATTTTTTACATCAAATTTTATTTTAAAATGCAACCGAAAAAAAGTTAGTTTAATGATAATAATTTTTTAATTTTATTCTTATTAGAATATATCTCGGCATGTACCTAGACCCCACTGACTGACAATTATTTAAATTATAAACTTATTAATTTTTTTTTTTTTATAATTACATTAGTTTTAACTTTTAAACATAAATTATACGAAAATATTCAAATAAACAGTGCATCCAAATTTAATTTGTGAATTTTAATTACTTGTTTATTGTGCACCTAATTTTGTCACAACGCCTATTAGAAGAACATAGCTTTCTTTTCTAGTATCTTCAGTTTAGTATGCATTCTATGAGTAGTAGCTATTGGTTAGTAGTTTGGTGGACTCGGTCTTAACATAAAGCTACGTTTAGCCGAATAGGGTAGGATTTACATTTATCATTAGTTAGTCCACACATACTTATGATGTGAGTATTTCACATTCCTTATTCTGAATCATGTTTGATTACACTGAAAATATTATTCTTGATTAATAAATCAAACCAAAATTAAATATGTTTTATGCATTAAATAATGTTTGTATTAATTGTGTTCCAATGTAATAAATTTAATCTATACAGTTAAACAAAAAAAAAAATGTCTAAAAGATCTTAAAGTATTTTAAAAAAATTCAGTAAACTTGATTTGTTTTTTTTAAATGTTTGTAGTACTTTCAAGTGGAGTTAATGTAAAAAAATAAATCTTATATTGTGAATATAATGTTAAATTAAACGGAAGAGATGAAAGTCTTATAATTATTAAGATAATTTGTTACAAATTGAAGATATTGTGTAGAAATCAAAACTGTTAGATAATGAAAACAAACATACACAAATTCAAGGAAAAACCAATCGAATTTTTAAATTTTGATTTTCTTTCTTATCGGTTGATATTTTAAGGCATAGTTTTTGTATCCATTGGGTATTTCAAACTAGATTCCACAATTAGTTTCTTGTACAAAAAGATAAATTGTTTTCTAAAAAGTTTTAAAATAGTCGGACATCAAATTCTTTGTCTTAAAATATATTAGTTAAATAAGTAGGTATATTACATGAAAATAACAATAAATTATTTCATAGTTTTAAAATTGTGATAATACATAAAAAATTTATTAAATTCAAAAATTTTAAATTCTATAGGCACCTAGTTTAGAAAACTGAATATTATGTTTAGCTTGAGGTTTGTGATAAGCCTCACGATCACCTAACATTAATATATAATAACACTATTGTGAACAGGGCTTTGCATCTGAATTAATCGGAACCCGTTACGTCCCTAAAACCCCTTAGAAAGTTCAACACTAAGACCCATACAACCCCAAAGATTTTTTTTATCGAAACACATGAATTAATCGAAACCCGAATAAAACAATTTCATTAACCTAAATAATTTTCATCTTACACATATTTTGATTTTTTAATTAGTACATTTAATACTAATTTATGACACGAATAATTTTACAATCAATTTCTATAAGCTGTTAAAATTGTATGATTATCTCTACATTTTAACTTAAAACAGCATTATCTATTAGTTTTTAATCATATTGAGTTGAAATATTATTAAAAGAAATGTCATACAGTCTAGCAACTAGGTTACATAGTAAAGTTATCGAATCAATTTTTTGCTGAACATCAGTATCAACCTATATTAGACGACGAATAATATAACAGTTAAGGCACCCCAAAGTTTGTTTACATTTTATATTCCAGAGTTTGAGTATTCTAATACATCCGGCACCAGAAACCAGAATAAATTATTGGGATCCAAAGCCCTGATTGTAAACGCGTATACGATATTATAACGCCTAGTTATCAACATACAAATGGAAAGATTTGATTTTGATTTAAAATGTATAATACGAATACTTAACCGTGCGTTGTAATATTATGTAATTGGCCTGTACCAAGGTTGGTATAATGTGACTATAGGAGTCGACTTCCTAGAAATATTTTTCAATTCAAATGTTTGCATTTTTTTTTGTTGTTAAAATACATAGTAGTGAAAAAGAATATTAAGTAATATTTTCAAAGCATACTACCTACTCAGAAAGTACATAAATTACAAATAAACATAAAATCAAAACTTAATGCAGGTAATTTAACATCATAATATTTTTATGTCACTTTTATTTAGCGGTACGGATACTAAGGTACGTATTTTCAATTGTTTATACATGTGTAAGCCATGCATAATAAGATTCAAATATTGACATTATAATATTTTCATATAGGAATCATCACATTTTGTGGTTAAAAGTTTATTTTTATCTTTGTTAACGAAAAAACATCGGATTTAGTTATGAGCTAACATATTTTTGAAGTAAAAAATGAATATCTAACATTTATGAAATATTTAACACGAATTATTTTTACTTCTGCCGTAACACAAAAGGTCAATTAAAATTACGGTAAAAAAATTATTCCGAATACTTTTTCTCTACTACCCTACTCATCCAATTTACGAAATTTGGGGGACTGGAGTACTTGACATCCTTAGATTGAAAGCAGCATCCTCATAATGCATTCATCGTAGGGTGAATTACAACTCTTATTTTATATTAAAACATTTACAATAACATTTACAGCAAATGGCTATAATTCCATATTGTGTGTGTGTGTGTGTGGGATTTTCCATTGCACATATCAAATGATACATATACTTATAACATATTAAAGGTTAAGATGGAAAGATAAAAATGTTGTCAAATAATAGACTAAAATATTATTTAAATAAAACAGATAACTTGCTCAATTAATTTTCCAGAAATCTAACTAAACAATAATTGTAGGTATTGTGTTTATAATATAGTGCGTATACCGTCGCTACGATGAGAGTTAAGACCTCCACAAAAATAGGATATAACTGACAATACATGTTTGTTTTACTATACCTAGGCTTGAACCGATAACGAAAGTATCTATGGAACGCCTCGGGGTAGGCCAAAACCTCAAACCACGTCCGAGTCTGATGTTTTTTTGAAATCATCCGATGTACAATAACTGACTTGACGAGTGGCCGTATCTTGTCGATTAATCGTGTGTAGTAGACCTTAACTTTTAAAACGTTGGAATTTAACTCGGGTTCGAAAAAGGATTTTTGAGCTTGAACCGATTATACTGATTTATAAATATTAATTTCAGTTGACAGTTGCATGATGATTGTCGATCGATCAGAAATAAACGTTAAAATGTTAACAGACCCTACGATTATCGACTACCAACATAAGAGCGTTTATTTCGTCACTTTGTGATATATGATAAAAAATAAAAAAACGTAAAATACTATATATTATTATATATTGTTTAAGAGTGCGCATTATACTTTAGTACGATCTATTTAATCTGCATGTTATAATTTAGGGATCAAGTTATTTCGCCTAACCATTTCAACTGAAAAAGGTCATGATTTAATTTTAGACTTAGAACAGGGTGATCAAGGGATTGATTTTACAATGTGTTATTTGTTTCATTTTGGTTTGTAATTTGGAGTAGGTAATAAAAAATAAAGATTTACAACCATAATATACTTTCTGGTAGAAAAATGAATCTAGTTTTTACTTTAATTTGAAGGGGGGGTTGGGGTATGGGCAAAGACCAAAAGTAAATATTGTGCAGTATTTTTCTTGATTATAATTTTCCGGAAAACCAGTTTTATCAAATTAATTATTTTTATTTGGTTGTCAATTAAAAATGTTATTCTATACTTCTATAGTAATTTATAAGACGAACCTATTCACACAATTTTAAGGGAAGTTAAATAATAATAAAATAATTAATTTTTTATTTTTATTATTGACTCGAAAACTATTAACAATAATATAATATGATATAAATGTATACCATTATAATAATTAGGTAAATATTAATGATAAAATAAATATAATATTTTCTCAAAATAAAATTTAGCCAACTGTTTTACGCATAGTTAAAAAAATACTACAATAGTATTATAAAATATACCGGCACTTATAACTATATGGACTGACGACCGAATTCGTTGAGAATCGTTTTTTGTATGATTTTTGAATAATTATTGCATTGTTTCTCATTGAATTTATATTTAAAACGTCCATTACAGTGACTTATTCAATGACGAGCTACACTCGACTACTACACCTGCAGCACTGTGTACATCACAGCGTTTACCTGCCAGTTTTCCCATTTTTGTAATATAAAAATTATTCATTTCAAAACGTAACCATATAATTGCGAAATGTTGAGTGGCGTTGTACAAACATCACCGGGGGTGGTTATCAGTAGTGCGGTTCGAATATTACCTTTTTTCAGCCCAAGTGCCCCGTTACATTTATATGTGGAGCGATAAGACAATCCATGCGATTCGACCTTACCCAATTAACCGCGCGGTGTGCCCGACTGAAAAATCGTCGGAGAACGAGAGTGTAAATCGCGGTCGGGTCGTCGTCGGTAGCGAAAGGACTTTGAGAAGGAAAATCGAAAACCCTTTGGTCGGAGGGGGCACGGGGTAGCGGCAGCCACGTCGAACTAACGGCTAATGAAAAGGGGGGAGCGATTGGGAGGGGGCAACACACGATCTCGACCAGCAACGGATGACGGGCCTCCGAATTTGGGGAGGAGGCGGTCTCAAGAGCGCCGGCGGCGGCCACTTGTTGGGGCGGCCGCTCGGTGCGGGCGCGTCGGCGTCGGCGTCGTATAGCCCGTTTTCGGCGGTGGCGGCGGCGTGATCGCGGTTTTCGCCGCGCGGGCGCGCGTGTGTGAGCGTTTTGGCGATACCATCATCTATACTGCGGCCACCGCTCTCCGAATCGAACGTGTCCACTGCCACTGCCGTGTCGCCGTGTCTCTGCGATTTTCCTCTCGATCGTCGCTCTAACCGGTACGACCGCACCACGTCTCCACACTTTGCCGTCGTCGCCGTCGATAATTTTTTTCGACTATCATTTCCATTCGACGATATCAATTGTTTTAATCACTTTAACGTTTCGTTTCGGTTGCCGCGCTCGTCGTTTTGCGATTCGTTTTCGTAAACGCCGCCGGACGCGATAACCGACCGACACCGCTCGCGGAACGTGGCCGGATCGAAGCGCGCGCTTTCAACGAGAGCGCGGCCGGAGACGTAGCCGGCCGCCGCAGCCGGTGCCAAGCCGTGTGCCGCCGCCGCCGCCGCCACCGTTGCGGTTGTCAGCCGCCGCCGCCGCCACCGCACAGACTACGCTCTCGTCCGACGACGACAACGCGGCCTAACAGTTCTATTTTTTTTTTCTTGTTTTCGCGCGCGCGAGCTTCACAGCCACCGCCGCGACGGTAGTCGTTCCCCGCGCAGGGCGCACCGCGTTCGGCGTTTTCAAAACACCGTTAGGTTCCCGCGCTATTTTTCCGTCGCGAAAACCATTTCGTCCGCTCTCCATCCACCAATCACCGGACTCCGCCTCCACTCGAACGTAATATTATTATAATTAATTTTTTTTCTCAATAATTTTTCCCGGAAAAACCGAAAGTGCCCCGAGAGCCGAAGCTTTTTCCCACGCCATGAGACGGTACGCGGCCGGATCGTCGTGCACTGATAGGAGGTAGAGACAGGTGCCTATTATTAGAATAAAAATAAATAGTTAGGACTGCAGAGTATCGGAGACACACGTGAGCGGTGGCACTTTGACCGGTTGAAAAGGATTTGCAAACGGCCCCAAAACGGAGCACATAAGGAATATCATGGGCTGCGTTCAGTCACTTTTCAATCGTACGTATATAATATTATAATAATATTTTAAACACAACAATAAATACCTATATGTAATATTTATGTAATAAATTTATGATAAAAATATGTATACACCGTTGTACTGTGAGAATAGTGCTATAGTACAATATGAACTCTCGAACAAGTCCCCTTCCCGCACAAACACGACAGGATTTTGAATAAATTAGATACTTGAACATTTTTTTATCAACACTAATCGTTAAAACATAGTAATAAAACGTGTCGTCGCTGTACGTTTTTTAACGCTAGCTTGTAGTAGTAGCAACAGTATTTACATTGTGGTATTTTGTATTATAACGAATGGTACAATAAGCGAATGAGCCATTGGGTGATTCTCGATTGTAAAGATAATCATAATGTACGTGTGTTCTTCGAGTGCGCGGAATATACGTAATACATAATATTTATTTTAATTTTAATATACATAAATATTATTATTTTTATAATTAACGAGTAGCAAACCACGTCATAATAGAATTGATGCAGGCACGCCGTTTTGTTCCACTGAATTTTCCGTTTTTAATTATTTTTTCTTCTCTTTGAGCTTTTAAAAACAATCTATCGACTTCAAAGTCGGTTCCTACGGACCGAACACTTATAACGTTCACTCCGATGATTATGCACTGTTGTTCGCGGAGGCAACAAATTTAGAGTGCATCTCATATCTGCATTATCTCCCACTTCTGAGATTGGTAAATGCAATATCTTTCGTTAAATTTTCATTTGTCAATTATTAAGTATTCGCTGATGATTTGATCATATCGCATAATATTACATACCTACCTCATCATATTATTAGTAAATCTGTTTTTTTTTTATTTATCTATAACACAAACAATTTAAAACAGACCACCAATTGCTAATTTTGAAGTATAAATAATATTATAAATTATTAAAATTGAATGAAATTTTTAATTTAGAGTATTTTAATGCATATCTACATTACTTCCCACTACCTACCTTGTTTGGTAAAATATGAAATATCTTAAGTTAAATTTAAATTTGTTAAGTATTAGGTATTCCCTGGTGATTCGATCATAACCCGTAAAATGCATTATAACATATACTTATACTTACATTGTCATAATATGAATAAATTTGAATGTTTTTTTCTAACTACCTATCCAACAAATAATAATTAAAGACCACCAATAGCTAATTATGTATTAAAAATAATTAAATTTTAATTTAGAACACATTAATTCATATCTGCATTATTTTCCACTACTTACCTTGTTTGGTAAATGAAATATCTCACGATAAATTTTAATTTGTTAATTATTAAGTATTCGCCGATGTTTTAATCATATTGCGTAAATTTCACATAACATACCTTACCATAGTTGAAATACACTTGTCTTGTTTGTTTTTAATTATTACCGTACAATATAAGAGAAACAACCAATAGGTATTTACGTGATATAAATAATATATTATATATTATGTTATTGAATTTCAATCAAGAAATTTCATTTTTGTTTTATTTTTCATGTGTGATTCCATAAAACCATATAAATAATAGTTATCCATAAAACCCGCATGTAACTGTTCCCGATTAAAGCTGCTTTTTAACAACTTGGCACTAAGTATCATCTTTGACTACGCATGTTGTAAAAAAAACTTACCATTTATCATAAGTGAACAATTTTCTTTATATTGCGCTTAAGTAGTTAAAAAAAAAAACATTTTAATTATATTAAATGTATGAAAGGATTTCTCAGAGACATTTTTTTTTGCTTTGCCTGGGAAATCTGTTTCCACGATTTAATAGTAAAGTTACACATTTTAAAACCATTATAATAATATTACAAAGTAATATTTTTAATGTAAAATACATTTTTAGATAAATCATTATAAAAAAAATTAATGCGTTGTACGGTATTAAAATAAAACCATCCTTTTGGAAGCAGTAAAAATAAACTGTGTTTAAAAAAAAGTGTAGACTTTTAAAATTTAGTTTTGTAATATGGCTTATTATAATTGTTTTATGTGTAACATACTATATTATAATATAACAATGCACGTTTATTATAATGTTATGTGTGTGGTACCTACCAATTCATTGCATGCGATGTTCACAAAATTAACGACACAACTACACTCAATTACGTTATGTCCGTAAGCTCGCTACTCGCTACTAGTGTGTGACATTGCCACGTTTTATCTGCAGTGTATCATTAAAGTATTGTGTTTCTTATGAGCTTCTAGATTTTCTTGTAAAAAAAAGTAATAATACAGATCGGAAAAGCTTAGGAAAATATTTTAAGCCAACTTTATAAGAAATATAACCACGGAAAAAATCGCAAGTTTAACGGGAATAATTGAACTAGGAATCTCCCAATATCGCATTGGGAGGTTTATGATTTTTCGATGCATTTTCTTAAGCTTTTCTATGCAATATCGTAAATAATGGGAAACTGCGACAAATTTGATGTTTTATCGGTAACTTTTTAATCTGTGTGTATTGTTCAAAATCACCAATCCTTTTATATCAAGAATCAAATATTTGTATACATATTATGTCAGTAAAGTACTATTAGTAATTGATTACGTATAAGTGATTTCAGAATAATTTATAAATCACACAAATCACACATAATAACCATTAATTTATTATCTAGTATGATTTAAATGAAAAACAAAACATTATAACGTCATCAAGTACTCAATATATTAAAATTCAATTTTAATATAATTTAATTAAAAATAAAACTGATCTAAGGATCATCTATGGTTTGGAAATTATTAGTAATTTAGTTTATATTGTGTAATCAAGTTATTTTTTATTGAAAAAAAATATTTATTAAAACCATATTTTTACAATATGGTGATCAATAAATTCTAATAAACTTCATAAATTCCCAACGTCTTACAACCAATATTTTAATTCAATAATATAAGTAGTATATATATTATTATGATTTGTACAATCATTTAATTCTCTAATATTAAAATAATTATAGTAGTCCCTACACCCTGTATGCAATACAAGATAAACAAATCGTCCAGAAAATAGTTAAAGAAAAGTTATTTAATTAATTTTTTTAATTTCTAATTTCTCATTTTCTAGGATTGAAATCCAACATATTGGATTTAAAATTGAAATTAAAATAAACAAAATGACTAATTGTTTGATAATGTGTTGAAAATTCTCTGATTTTATTTTACTCACACGAGTATCACTTGATTTAGTGATATTAAGTACTAAGTAGTTTAAATATGAGGCTATGGTCTTATATCTTAAATAATAATAATTTATGATTCATAAGTTACATACAATTGTGTAGTAAAATAATATCTTTCTAATTGTCATGATTAAAAATGATGCCTAATTACATTCAAATATGTAATATATTTGTAGATGCACGAGATAGTTGAAACTAATTGTTAACTGAAACATAACGACGTAGACTTTGACATTTTGTATATTTTATGAAAGTGAATAACTTAAATTATGTAAGTAGATAAACGAAACTTCCAGTCAAGTAGATGAAGTTACTTTTTCAATTGGAGGAGGATTTTTTGTCGTAATAAAACATTTTTAATATAACGGTTAATATACATTTCAAAAATTATTTACCAACATTTACTGTATTGTATATTTATATGAAACATAATATTCGTTTATTTAATATAAAAGAGTGGACGTGTATTCAAGATTCTCCTTCATTAGGTTTGAACCATAGATCACTGCAACAATTTGATGAATTAATAGATTATAAATTTTACGAAGAACATGATGAGATAAAAACCAAAAAGTTGCAGTGAAATTCATCTTAAATAAACTTACAAATATTAAATAATATTAACAAAATATAGACTATTTTAGTGCTGTTGTTTAATTACTAGTATGGAGCTTAAAAATGCATGGTATTTTAAATGACGAGGAAACTATAATGGACAGCAAAAAAAGTATAACTGATTTGCATTATGACATTTTTAGCCGGGATTCTGCCAAAAAAAAAAAAAATGATTTTCTTTCCTGCAAATTGAACTATTTATTATATTCAATCGATTGGACAATGTTTGATAAATGTCTTCATATTATATGGATTATTCTGTTTCTAATTTAGCGATTGAATAGAATAACTATATAGAATGATTTTCAATCAACATTTAGGATTCTGATTTCTGAGTGAAGATAGTGCAAGCCTACGATCTTCAAATATTGCAGAAACGTTATCTTATGCAATTTCAAAATGATTGAAGTTTTCGGTAGAATGAGATTATTCGGTTTTAAAATAACAAAATTCTTTATCGTTTTCGAGAAATTTGTAAAGAAAATAAAATACGAATTACGTACATTTTTTATGAAAAGGTTCATTATATTTTATGTGTGGAAAACTTTTAATGTGGTAAATAATGATTATTCTGAATACCTTATTATGATAAATAATACATCTATTCTTGAAATTTTAATTTTCAAAATGCCAAAAAAACTAAAACTTGCAGTCGATTGAAAATTGTATGAAATAAAAATATTGTAATTCTTGTTTTGTGTGAGGTTTTGAAATGTTAAAAACATTCAAATTGTTTGTAATATTTAAATATTTATCATAATTTTTATATTTTTAGATGTTAACTGTTCGTGTAAATCATACCAGATAATAATTAAATGGTTACCATAATATTGTATGCACACAAATCATGATTTATAAAATATTATGCTAAAGTCCCTTCTACGTAATCAATTGCATATGGTGCCTTATTATTATAATTTGTATAAAGATGCTTAATTCGTAGTACCAAATGATCCCCAGTATTCACCATTTCAAACCTAGCATGTAATAATGATTTTGAACAATACATTTCAGATTGATAACTTACCAATAGGACTATCAATTCGTCTTAGTTTTTTCATTTCTGATGATATTACATAGTAAAGCTTGAAAAAATACTTCAGAAAAATCTTAAATCTAATATAATAATTTTTTCACGATGATAATTGTTTTGCTGTGGGTGAAGCCAAGAACATATTC